GGGGACCGCGCTTCAAAGATGACAAACTGTTGATAGTCTGACGGTGCAAGATCGAGGGCTGTAGGCTGGATGAGGCAGCAGAGTCCATCCGAACGGAGCAATTGTCAGAACAGGCTGAGCGGCCGAGTGTTGTCGTGCTGCAGCAGCACCTGTGACGTCTCCAGATTAAGGCAAACTCTTTGGATGTGCTGTTTCAGGTTTTTTTTTTCAAGCAGTAGAGGTCCCATAAACTTTTTCTTCCTGTTGCCTTTGAATGTCTGCTGGCCGTACTCCCTCTGGGGTCAGTAACTCAATAACAGCTCCCTGCTTTGCACACACGCCAAGGGCAGCAGCCATTTTGGAAAGGTGTAGTGGTGCTGTCAACTGATGGTTCTCCGCGAAACTGACGCGAAAAGGGCGAAAATATAAGTATTTCCATAGGAATTTTTTTCGCCGGCCTTTCACGCGTGAGAACGGAGAATAAAGTAACAGGCATTACTTTCCTACCGACCCTCGTAAATTGCTAGTGGCGAACGTTACCGAGTCTCAACTCTTATATTCAACCAGGCGAGGTGTGCCCAATAAGTTCTCAGCCTGATCACCATGCGATAATTTGTCAACAATATTTTAATTATTATTATTTTTTTAAGTCACATTAATGACAGTGCACTTCTCCCATCGTCCCTTTAGCATCTCTATGCCGGTCTTTAACCACTCCTTCTCGAACCCCTCGAACTACCCCCCGCCCAGTTTCGCGTTTTGCGACGTTGTCATCCTGAAATCTCTTCCCACGCAGATGTTCCCTCAGATGTCGAAACTTGTAAGAAAAATCATAGTGCCAAGTCGGGTGAATAAGGTGGGTGTGGCAATTGTTCGAAGGAGGGCGACCTGTGAAACATCGGCTGTGCCTCGTCATGCAAAATGAGGACCCCTTTTCTCAATTTGCCTCGGCGCTTCTTCATGGATTCGCGCAACCTCCCCAGTAATGCAGCATAGGACTGGCCCGCGGTCGTACTGCTGGGGGGCATATATTCGATGCAAATGACTCCTAAAGATCCCAGAAAATCGTCGCCATGACTTTGCCAGCCAAGGCTTGGGTTTGGGACTTTCTGAGTTACGGAGAGTCCTCGTGCCTCCACAGCATCGACTGCTGCTGGGGGTTTTGGGTCTCAGTGGTCCAGCTAAGCTTCATCCACAGTAATTATTCGTGAACAAAAGTCCACTGGTTCTGTGTTGAACTGGTCGAAATTGTTATCGACTCATTATGACCTTGTCAAAGCATTGAATGACGGACAGCATACGGGGAAGTCAGGTGGCACAGTCCTTTCATAGTCGCAACTTTTCGTGCGATATGGTTTGAACCCTGCCCTCTGAGGTACTCAAGACGATACGTAAACGAGTTGTCTGTGGCAACAAGCCATCCTTAGATGAAAACTTGATTGGTGCTAAAATAGTTGAAAATCCATGAATATTCAATCATGCTACAAGGTAACAAATCAGTAATCGTGCATGAGAGTACTCTACAAACTTTTAACTTCGCAGAGGAACTTGTGACACTACTAGCCTGCTCTGTTTCTTTTCAAAAACAAATTTTCTAAGGTAATCTGGCCGAGAACTTATCGGTCACCCTTCGTGTAAGACACTCATGCATAAAACACGAGGAAAGATGTCATGTTCGTTCAAATATAGCAATTGGCTGATACCATTTTGACTAAATCAATGACTCTAAGCAGAGAAAACAGGAGAAAATGTACTATGATTGATTTGCATTGGCAAAAGGAGCACTGTTCAAGTAGCTTACTTAAATAAAGCCCAGGCATTCAATAATAATCGCAAAATTTTGTTCGTGAGTACTGATATATCTAAAAGGTGCATATTTGTACATATTTGTCGTACATTTAGAAAAATATAAGGTTTCAAGTTTTTCCTAAAGATTAGTAACTGCAATTATCAACCTGCTGACCTCAAAAAAAAACAAAAGAACCTAAAAAAATTCACACCATTGCCATTCTTCAACCCTGTAATTAGAAAATTTGGCCTATTTTGAATCTGAAGGCAGTCCGGGGTTATTGCCACACATGTTGCACGATGATCAGAAGGTCGCTTCATTAAAGAAAATTAATGCTTTTGCATCTCAAAAGGTCTTGAGATGTGTGCAACAGTCATGCAATAAGTACATCCACGGCGAACAAAGTGTTCAAAGAGAAACGAAAGAAAATCCATGCATACATGAAATTGGATGGCGCAAACCTTGGCTATGAAATAGGCTGTTTCGATTTAATCAACTCCCATGTAATTCATCTTCACATGATTTCACCACAAAATTTATGGCCATAGCTAACAATCCTATCAAGGAAAAGGAAGTAGATTAGAAAAAATAAAGTGGTGATCGTTACAAGAGCTGACTGTCACGTCGCAAAAGGGGCTTATTTTGCTTTGCAGTGCCATATTGATTATATTTATAGTTGTGTCACCAGGGTGGTACGGCCTTGCTTCTAACTTCTATCAAGTAGTCATTCCTAAATGAGCATGATTACTCATTGTGATGGAACAATTCTCTCAGTAAAGTGGCGAACGTTACATCAAGGTTACAATGCTTGCCCCTGCAGGAATAGCTATAGGAAACGTTTAAAAAAATTTTTCGGGAATGCAATTAAGGAATTTGAAGTTCATACTTTGAAATTATATGTGATATTTCCAGACTATTGAACCGGCGGTACTGTTTCCATTGCACTTGATTCAGGATAAATTACTTAGTACGAGTGTGAAGTCACATTCAAATGTAAAAATCGCATATTCGGTATTTAAAAAAAATAGTTTAAATCCTAAGGGGTTACGACAGCAGACAAATGTCAAATTCCGAGATAGCTAATTCTACCCTTTCCAATGAGATATTACATGTGGGGGGAAAAGTTGATAACAAAATTCAATCTCGAGGTCTCACTTTCTGTGGAATGATTCAAGACAAATATACATGCATCTGACTGGGAAAAGTTGCCAAATCTCCATAGTTATTGAAGTAGTTTGGGTTGAATTCGAGTGATCTGTTCTTTGCGTTCCACCGGAGATTCCTAACTTTCCGGTGTGACCGGGAGATCCCCGTTAAGGAAACGGGGAGTCTCCCGGTCAAGCCGGAAAGGTTGGCAACCCTAATCCCACCTGCTTGTGCACCTGTCAGGCTAACGACTTCCCGGTGAGTGATGGGAAGCGAAAGCACGTGAGTTAGGTACTCATTACTCACCGTGACCTGGCTGGGGCCTGGGTGCTCGACCACTGAGAGATGAGTAAACCACGCCGTGCATACCCTTGCCCCAATGTTGGCACGTGAGTGGCATGGCTGGTTTCTCGTTGACGCTTATTTCATCATCGGTGTCATGTCTGCGGTTCCTGCGTGTGAATTCTACGCATGGAGTTTTATTTCTGCGCCGAAAGAGGAAACGCTCAGGTCCGATTAGTCCATGGTCCGTTCAGGCTCTTTTTTCGGGAAATCTTCACAGTCCCAGGTAGCAATGACAAATTTGAAATCCGAAGGCTGACTGTTCACCCCTCAGCCTGGCAAGAGCTGCACCTTTAAAGGAATGTGCATTCATGGCATGTATTCACATTTCGTCACATTTGGAAGTAAAGTTGTACTTTTGCACAAATCCCACGTAATATCATGGCAAATCAGAGCAACTGACTAAAGATGTCCTCTGAGTTTACTCAGGCCACACGCTAGAAGCTAGCGTCACTCAAACTGAGATAAGCAAACTTCGCAATTCACAATCCTTATTGAGCAAACTTAGGTCTTTCAGTGGCGCAGAATTCTGACCCAATGCTGAGCCATCGCGCCCCCGCGTCCCCAGCTCAAGGTTGGACCGACGATAGGAGCTAGTCATGGTCCTACTCGAGAGCCAACTCTTGATCACCCTTCCTGGGGAAGCTACGAAAGCGAAACCAAGGCTTTTACTTGAATCTAAGCCTGAACCGATGATCTCACCTCCTTACATGTAATTTCACCGCGGCTGAGAGTGCCCTGTATGCTGGAAAACCGAACCTGATGAGGGACAGAGGAATCTCCTCCGCTGGGCAGGATCGAGTACAGGGAGTGGGATGACGTCATCGAGTGACCTTCACCTTTAAGCCTCCCTGGAGTTTTAATCTTTTTCACTTTCTAGCCTCGCGCTCTGGTCATTTCGTCGTGATATATCCTTCTCCTGCTTCCCCCCCCCCCCCCCCCCCCCCCCCCCCCCCCCCCCCCGAGGGAGAAGGGAATCGGGGGAACAGAGCAATGTTATCATGAGCGGGGACTGGAAGGGGGGGATCACGAGGGATACATCGACCGGAGGGTCAAGTCTAGGTCTCTATTGTGATTTGCTTTTTTACTACCTTCGGTTTTGGTACCACCAAGCGTTCTTCTTGAAAGCCTCGAATTTAAAAGATGAGCGTGGTTGAACATTTTTCAATCTCTTCTTATTCGGGTTTCGACCATGAATTTCAATGTGATTAATGCATTCTGCCCAGCACCTTCAACATGTGGAGTGGAGAAAAGTTCGCAGAAATAGAAGTCCTCTCCACATTCTTCGCTTTTGCCAATTCAATTCGTCTCGAGTTCTCGATCGCCCAAAGCTAAACCAATGAAGAAGCTTCAAGTGTAAGAATTGAGCACTTTTATTGCAAGCCCTCGTGACACGACACACAGGAAATATACATACGAATGGTAACCAAATGGAAAGGGTCCTGTGGTCGAAGAGAATAGAAATGCATCACATGATAGACGATACTGACGTGCTCGAGACCATCTCTGGACTCGATCAGAAAAGACTAGAGAGTTTTTTCCCCACCCCTTAAGTTTTTTTTCTTTTTCAAAAGAACAAAGATCGGGCTAAATTTGGCATCCTCCACCGCGACTTTCCTGACTTTGGAACCCAATTCCACTGTTTTATACAGAGACCCTTGTACTAAAGCGCTCCGTTCTCTTATTAAAAATACATGTAAAAAAATACATTTAAAAATGCGAATCACACTGGTGGTGGTGAGCTTCATGTGGAACGTGGCGTCGTGACGCCGAACATCTCGTTCACGTTGTAGAAGGTCTGAGCCTCTTCGCACGGCGTAGCGTCTTCAGGTCGGGCGCACACGAGGAAGGCCTGTAAACAAAGAAACAAAACTCAAAAACTTTTTTTTTATCCTTGGTAAGTATCACGAAGCGAAGCAAAGATATACAGTTTCTTCGACCGGCTTTGCTCTTTCAGGGATATTGTTTGTTAGAGCAATAATTATGATCTTACTATTGAACGTTTTCAAATAGAACTCATATATTCTATATTCGGTTGTAAAGCCACGCTTATGGAGAATTTTACTTATAGCCTTCCACCCAACTTCCGAAAATTTCCATACCTCTTACTTAACCGTACATGTAAAGAAAATCCGCATTACCAAATATTGTGGTTTCGCCTTCGAACGCTTTCAAACGAGACTCTCATTCCTGGTGTCAGTACCAGACTTCCCATATTCTAAATCCCCCAGCTTATTATTGGCAAAATCCAAGAAATTGCAGAATCTCCAACACGCTTCCCACGAAGACGAAATGCTAAAAATAAATCAAATGTAGTTGCGCTTGTCCTGGGACAAGTTGCGGTGTATTACATGTTCGCCTAAAAATGATTCGTTTAACTGTTATTTTAGCTCCCAAGAACACATGTGAAAATGCCGAAGAACACGTCACGCATGTAAAAAAGCATCCATGTGTGTTCTTTGATGTGCTTTCAGGTGTTTCTGCTGGAAAAAGTTTTTTTTTATATATTGGAATTAGTATCTCGAAACTGTGGACATCTTTGGAAGGGCAGAACAAGTAAGAGTTCCGAAGTTCTCCGCCAGGTGCCGGTACCCGCCTTCGAGATCGCTTTTCGAAAGTGTTGATGTAGATACGAAGATGCTTTCATGAGGATCGTGATCTCAAGAGGCTATTATTTATCGGATGGACTCTCCCTCGTGTCGAGGCCTCTTCCTTTCATAATGCAATGAAGAGAAGAAAAAAAAAATCCAGTGCGTGAGCCGAATGTCCCGTACATACAGATGTTTCCGGGGCCCCGACCTCTGCCTCTTTGTCTTCCGGGTCTTCCGGGGTGGTCGCCAACACGTGTCAGACACTGATGAAAAAAATCCTTTCCCGTCTCCCTTTTCCTTCCCCCCCTCCCCCCCGGTTATCTCCCATACCACTATTACCAAGATAACAAAATGCGGTTCGGGACGATATCCCTGCGGCGAACCTGATCGAAGACCGTCTGTTCGGGGCAGATGAAGGACCAACGCGACGTCTCCTGCCTCCCGTCCGCATAGACGATCGGCATGCAGACGTGGAACACCTGGCACCCGTTGTCCTGATCCGCGTAGTATCCGTAGATCCTCCCGTTGCAGTCGAACGTGTCTACGATGGACTCCCGGATGCTGGTGGAGTTGCTTGGCAGGCCCAGGCTTTCCTCCGCTGCTGTTCGTGTCCCCGTTTCCTCGTCCGCCTGACGCCCCACCTGCCGGGAATCATTAACGCTCCTAGGGGCACTCAAGATGGGTCTCGGGGCGTATTTAGTCTGGCAAAGATTGCATTTGAGGGGCTTGGGACGCGACAAGGGAAGGCACGACCAAACGGAATCTGATTTTTTTTGGTAAGGGGGAGGGGGGGCCGCAAGCACGAAAAATTTGCGGCAAATATATAAATTGAAGAATTTTTATATTTGAGGGTCAGATTGTCGATGCTTTACCTAGTGCCTATTACTAGGGAAAAGCAAAGGGTTAAGCTACTGCTAGGTTTCTTAAGAGCTATCTGTGGACCGTATCTCTCGCACCATCATCTGCGGGGCACACCTAGAAATTTCATTTTATTGTTCGATTGCATTTTTCACCAAGTACCGATACTCATTTTCAGTAACAACCGTGAGTACCGTTTCGGCGTAGTGACTCGACAATGGCAATCGTTACGAGTCCCGCACTCCAAATTTTCTCATCAAATTCTTGCTTTCTTGCTTATTCGGTGACATCCCTGAGAAGAGCGCGTGTGTTTCATTTTATTCGCAGTGCTATCACATTATCTTATAATCCAAAATTATCCTCGTATCGAATGCCTCCACGAATAAACTCGAGACTCGTGACTCGAGTTATTCTTCGTCTCGTTATGAGACCAGGAATTTTGGATATTGAATGTACACTTCCTTGTAATTTGGAATTGATTCCCGCCGTCTCTGTCTCATTCATGTCCAGTTCTTTACAAGCGTCTTTCGCACGAAGCCTGTGATTACGAGGTAATCACGGGCTTCTCACGAAGCCTATGATTATCGTGTAGTCAACTGTTGAAACAAGGTTGTAGCTTCACAATACAAGCAAGCTGTCCATTCCCCAATTCGAATGTTGCATCTTGTGTCATGGTTCTAGACAAAGGCTCTCTTCCGTTTTTTTTTTCTCGTTCCTTCTACCCCGAAATAAATCCTGCTGCATTATTAACGAAGTCTTTGGTGCCTGAACGCATATTACTTTCAAATTTAGGGGAACATACCTCATGACTATTTATAACGTTCGGACGTGAAACGACAAAAAACTGAGAACCGAGGAAATGTATGCGAAAAAAAACAAGGAAATGCGTGAAAGAAATTCTTTCCGACACCAGAGAACAGATACCCTCGAGATATATGGGAAAGGATTCCAAAAGTATTCCTCACTTTCCCTCAGAGGGGAGTCCCCACTCCATTCCCGACGAATGAACGAAAAAAAGAGTAATCTCCCCTTAAAAAGACGGAGTGTATATCCCGCATGGGGGAATGCCCTGGGGTGAGGGGTCAAGCGGACCCCGTTACGTCACCTCTTGCAAAACACCTATTCGATGCCTCTTCGATGCCTCTCAGATGTCTCTTAAATGTCAGAGTGATCCAAGGACAAGCCGACGGGCTTCGCTTGTCATGGACGCGAAATTTCGGATAGGACGTTTTGAGATATTTCGTTACTCATCTTTTGAAATTCCGAATATTTATTGTCTCCACCTGGCCTTTTTTTTGGACGTGCCTAATACCATTTTTGGGCATCCGGAAATATTTTTTTTTATCCCCTTATATTATTTTTACCCTTTCGTTTACTTTTCATAGCATTTCCCACGTGAGATACCATTGTAAATTTCAAGCAAGGTGAGCCTTGTAGCCTCACCTTGTAGCCTCACCTTACACCCTAGCAATTTTCCCCTCCTATTTGTTAATGCTCGCTGACGGATATTATTTTTGGGACGAGAGGTGCAGTTTGCATATAAAGACAAAGCGTTACGCAACCCGCGTGAGAGGAATTTAAAATTCATGAAGAGGATCACCATACCATCCGGGCTCATCATCATCACATTATGGTTTGGATGAACCATCCCTTACGTCATTCCCTCTGGCCAAACGTATAAATTCACTCGAAATGAATGAAATTTATACGTCTGGCCAGACGGAACTAATGAATATTCCCGATTGATTATTTATTGTTGAATTATCGTTGACCGATTGCGTTTCTAGCAAACTCCCAGCTCCCGGAATTAATTAAGTTCCACCCTTTTTTCTCGTCACCTTTTTTCGTCGCCTTTTCCCCCCCACCTTTTTCTTCGTCACCTTTCTTCGGCACCTTTTCTAGCCACCTATTTGGCCATCTCTTTCATGTCACCTTTTCTTTCGAGTCCTGTCACGATTCAGCAACATATCCCCAAGATTGTAGCGTCACCGCAAAAAACAAGCATTACGTCAGTGCACCGAGAAAAAGTGCCTTCTCACGAAGATAGAAATCGAGGAAGCGCAATGCCCCCACGCGCCACGCATTCAATGCGATGCCCAAACGGAGCGGGCCGTGCCTGGAATGAATCGTGTCGCCCCTTTCGAATGGGCGCGTGGACTCACCCTGATGGACGGGAGGGCGCAGGACAAGGCTATCAGGCTCAGTCCTGTGAAACGAAACGAAATAAATCATGGACTAGTTTTATGACACTGGCACCAATGAAAATAAGTATCGTCCACCGACAAACATAGGGTAATATCAAAATTATTGCATGGGAGAAAAACAAGCAACCAATGGCCATAAAAAATAATTTAATGGTGGCATAAATAATATAAAATGAAGAAGCGCGTGACTGAACAAATAGGAACATATATAAAAGATGTACAATGAAGATGATGCTGTTACACTATAGTACCCGAGCGACCTTGACGTACGCCTACCCAGAAATTAGGGGATTCTTCGCGAGAGCACAAGTCGGCGGCGAGATTGTGCAAGTCTGAAGAGACATGTTTCATATTGTCAAGTAGACGGTATTTTAGCAGGTTGCGCAGTCGGTACATAGGACAGACACATATTGTTACCTCTTCTTCACGCTCGGTTACTTGCATCCCTCACGCCAATTTCCCCCCCGACCTTGCCTTACATTCCTTTTCCCTTCAGCCATCTGCTCGCGATTGGCGTGCCTGTGAGGTAACTCACCGATGACGAAGGCGATGCTGTTCATGGTCGCTGGTGCTGCGTGTACCTGCAATTGGAAGGAAAATTCGGTGACTTCATATGGAGATGATAAAGATGGTATTTTATTATTGTATTTATAATTTTTATTTGAGTAATTTTTAATATTATATTTTATTTTACAATCGCTACTTTTTACGAGAGTAAATTATCACTATAAAATTAAATAAATGCGTGAATGTTTTGCATAATAAAAATAAAATGTTATATTATATAATGCAGAATTTTATAATATAAATACTATATATTTACTATAATATAAAATTCTATACAAATTCTGAATAGAATTTTATATAAATATATAATTCAATATATAAAATTCTGCTGATGTCAAAAAAGTCCAATATCGATTCCATTTTCATAGCAAAAAAAAGTAGGCATGCCTACCGCAAGCAATGTAGCAATACAGGTATAGGATGTCTTAGTTTCTAATTACATAGTGATCGACCCTTTCGATTGGGAAAAGGAAACCCGATCCACCTCTTCCTGGGATCACGTAATCACAATTACCCACTCCTCGCCGGAAGAGAAGGTGAAGATGAGTCTTTTGTGTTGGCTTATGTTCCCATACCCGGAAAGAAGGGAGAGAGAGTTGATGCATAATGCATCGGATGGAAGTGAATGAGGAGGAAACAAATGATACTTAGATGGTCTTGGGAGGGAGGGGAAAGTAAGTGTGGCTTGTCTCTGCTAATGGAGTTCAACTCTGGCCTGTGTCTGCCCCCTCCCGACTTCATTTAGAAGCGTCAAAGCACAAAGACGCTCTTTTTTCTTCATCCCTTTATGACCTTTGTCGTGAACTGCATGTACCTCGTACCTCGGAGGAATCTTCACTCTCACTCTTCCTCTTAATTTTTCTCCTTCCTCAAGCTTTGAAGTTTTGTATTCGAATTTTGAATTTACTATTTTTGCTTAGGCACAAAAATAGGATTCATCGGGAGCCTGTGGAGATTTGTAATGTAAAGTTTCCCTTTCTCTCGATCAACTTTTCCAAAGTCTATTAATCATTTGTCACGAACACCGTATATCAAGTATCACTATCAAGATTCGACCATCCGTAGATTTACTTTAGATTAGTTGTGCATAATATAGTATCATTTATCTTTTTTCACTTTTATTTTATCAACCATTTTTACTCTGAGTTCAAACTGATGAGCTAAGGCTGAACTTTCATCGATTCGACTGCATTCAAGAAGTTGAACTACCAAAATCCACAAAACATCCAGAAGTAGAGCAGGGTAACTCAACAGAATGATCAGGCGCTCAAGATCGAAATCCCACACATTCAGTCAACGCAGCCTCACCTGAGTATGAAATGAAGTAAGTAGAGTGGGAGACACAGGGAGGTCAGGGAATGCTTCACGGCAGAACCCTCAACGACTAGTGAGAAGGAACCGGCAAAACCTCATGGTTTTCTACCCCCACGTGCAGTGCGCGTGGTCTGCATTCACCAATCAGCTAGTCGGGGTGGGAGGTTCGACCAATAAGGTGCGGCCAGGGCACGCCCCGTCTACCAATCACAGCGCGGGGAGTACGTGCGGCAAAGAAAACAACATCAACGGAGAGAGGATCTGTGACTTTTACTCGGATGATGCCAGTATTGCGTCATGGCCCTATGGAGCTCTCTGCCGATACCTTTTCTTCCTTTTCTGGAACCCAGCCAGAATGAATAGGAGAATTTTATTTGCTTCTCCCAGCCCTCCTTGACCTTTCAGGCTTATGTTACCTGTGTTGATAATTCACAGGAGACTCCGAATCCATCTTCTTGGCAATCCAACTCCCCTTCATGAAAATCGGGACTTTCACGCGTGCCTTGTGAGAAATAAAAGTCCTTAACAAGGAAAGAAAACCATGATAGTTTTCAGACAGAGCCCTCAAGTCGAACTTAGATCCAAAGAAGAGGGTATGCAGCAGCCATGCAATCAAGCTACAGCTTGGTGAAAGCCTCGCTGCCTCCAGACGCATGAGACAACCCTCGAGGGCCTCCCTTAGAGAACGACTCCTGGGAGACGCAGGGGCTGAGAGTGATGAGCACATGCGAAAGCTGGGAGACGGAGCCACGAAAGACATTTCCGTTCTGTGCTTCCTGATCTATTCTCGGCAAATGTGCTCATTTATATTTTTCTTCGTCGCACGAAGCTCATTTATGCTTTTTAAGACAGCTTGTCTCTTGACGTTTCACTAATCGGCTCTTCTGCTCTTCTAAAATTCTTCGACTTGCCTGTTAAATTTGGGGCCTCGCTAGTGTGAGATTCCGGGCTCCCTTGACTCAAGCTACTCAAGCTTCGCATATTGAAAGACTGTGAAAGTTGGGAGCGAACTCTCTGGCGATCGAGCACGCACGATCCACCAGCGAGTAGAGACAATTCGGGTTGTAGACACCTCGATACCCCCCACGAGGCGCTACGGGGTAGAGAATATTTCATTCGCGTCCCGGAAATTCTTCCCCCCACCCCGAGATGCTTTCTATTCACACCTTCATTGCCACTCCCATGAGGGACTCTGAAGTTTTCCGGTCGTCAAAGAGCCTAATTTCCTCTCTACTTTGATGCCACGGTCGCTGCAGCGAAATTTCGACCCATCTCTGTCGAAATCGCGACGACGGCCGATCCAGATCTGCCAACTCTTGCGAGCCGTCGAAGGGGTCAGGGACTCTTTTTCAGCACCGGCCGATCCGCATTATCGGCGAGAAAAAGCCGCATCATGATCTCGGCGAGGGCTTTCACGAAACAAGGGCCAATCGATGCCAACCTTCATCCTCCTCATCATTTTTACCATCTCATCGTACGAGAAGAAACTGGTCCAAGGTCCTCAGACTACAAAATGATTAAGTGAAATGGCCACCCTCAAATGAAATGTTACCTAACCGTCCACTGCCAAAGAAAAAGCATGAATATTGATATTCTGTCCGCAAGTTTACCAGATAGTTGCCCGGTTAGTTTACCGATTAGTTTACCTGATAACTCACCTCCTAGTTTCCTTGCTAGTTTACTTGCTACGTCTTGCTGGTATCCCCACTGATCGAATAGTAAATCAGCTTTTTATTCATTCCAGGGAGCCATTTACTTATTTTCAAGTATATAAAAGTATAAAATATATCAAATCTGGTATGATGAAATTATTGATTTCGGTTTCCGGTAAATTCGAGGCCCGAGCTCATGTAATGCTAACGAATAAGACCGTGAATTTCTTTCAAGGTAAAAGTAATAATAATAATAATAATGAAATTTTCATCTGTGTGATTAAAAGATTTTGTGCCATAAAAATTAAACTCATCCAGTTCCTCTACCTGGGATTTCGAGATGCATCGAACGCATTGCGACATATTTTCATTTTTTTTTCCTCTTTGGTGGGGGGAAGGGGGAGGGGGGGGGGGGCTAGGGGGGTTGAGGACTATTTTGAATGTCGTCGTTACAGGGGTGAAGGGAAAAGGAATTTCTTATCGAAGGTGCCGCATCACGGCACGAGATGTCAACATTCGGCCCCTGCGCTGACCCCGGAAGCCGCTTCTTCATCACAATTGGCCGAAATACGAGAAAGTCAAACGTCTTCTTCTTCTCGCGCGACGCCTCGTCTTTCAGTTACGTCACACTCGGGAATTTCGGTCTGATTGGAGGCATTCAGCGTGTCGAAACGAAACGCCGCGATTGATTTTTCGCCGTCTCACAATGACGACCGTTGATGAATATTGATCGTTGCGTGTCGGAGCGGTGACGGTGCGGAATCTCCCAGAAACTTTCTACCGGCAGAACCTCGCCGACCTTTTCTATTTTCGACTTTTTTTGCGGAAAACCCCGAAGACGTGACAGGAAAGTGGAATGCAAAGAAACTCAGCCATAAAAGCGTACGATCGCGAGGCCCTTGAACCCCCGCGATTCCCTGACCCCCTCGAAACGCGAAAAAAAGGCATCCGTCACGTCGTGGGCGTGTGGCTTCGCGGAAAGGGTTGCCTAACGCATCGATCGGATCCCCCCGTGTGTCTGTGTTTGCTCGTCCGTTGTGCAAGGCCGTGGTCAAGGGGTCGACCGAGTCAAGGAGATACTGTTACACGGGGAAATATTCGCGGCCCAAAAAAATTTGCGACATTGAAATATCATCCATATTGACGGAGGCTGATTTTCGCGTGCTCCTGCCCCCCGCAAAAACCGCTAATAGCTTCTGCTCGACCGAACGAACGACCCGACGCGAAATTTATACCGACGACGTGTTTCATAATTGCTTAATGAATAATGAGCGATGAATAATAAAAAAATGGTGTGTAAAAAATGAAATGAAAGTGATGGCCCCATTGTCCCCTAAATCGTCGGGAAAATCCTTCACGGTGACAAATCTCGCTTCCCCCCGGTGAAAGAAGAGATTAAATCCTCATGAGCAAATGGAAAAAAAATTCAGGATGGAGATGGGGCCCGAACCGCTGCATTGAAAGAGACCACCTGGGTCGTTCTTGCGCAATCTGTCTGTCGTCATTTGCATACAGTTACACTGTCCCCTCTCTTTATGCATCATCATGCCCCCTTTTAGTCAGGGGGCTGGATGGGGGGAGGGAAGGGGTTTGTGGTGGGGGGGGGCGGGGAAATCCTGGTAACCCTACCTGGTGGCACGGGTAACCCGATTAAATAAGCAATGCAAGTATCCTGTCTGCAATATTGCCTGCGTAATGCCTTTTCTCGGAATTTCAAGCGGTAAAAGGGCTGAGGTGAGTCTTCTCTTCCTTTCTCTCGTTCGTATGATCATCAATTGATCAGTTCTTTGCATCAACATTGACTTTTTTTCTATCCGGGCGATTGCCATTAATTCTCAAAGTTCATATGCAAATTTAGATTTTTGCACTGCCTTCAATACGGTGGAAATGAAGAGTGCGTGAGAGCAAGTAAAACAAAGAAGCATTGACATCAAGTGTGCACTAGTGAAGTTAACGTCGGTATTAATAAAAATTTATTTATATGCGGCAGACTATAATTGTGATATATGCCGTATTTGAGGTTAGCCCCCCAGCGCGGTTGTTTAACCCACAGCATCGTCATTGTTTGAAGACGAAGGGTAAAATACGAAGGGTGAAACATGCTTCTCTCTGTTTGGCAGTGCCAGATGGCAAAAAAAATGCATTAGAAACTTTACAAATGGCCGTGGTGTCGAAATCGACATCATTGCGATTTTTTTTCCCCCAATGCGTAATGCATCCCAAGTTGCGACACGGGATCGGCGGTATTCCGTGAATACGCGCGTTTCACCATCGGCGGTCAGTCCATAGAAACGCGGCTCTCATTCTCCAGGGATGCATGTGCCTATGTGGTATAATACATGCATGCGGGGCTGATGCCTTCGAGGCACGAGGAGCTTTCCGCCCGGTTTTTGCGCAATTTTTTTCTTTCTTTATTATTTTTTTATTCTTTATTCTTTTTTTAAATTCTTTTTTATTCTTTTTGTATTCTTTTATTCTTTTTTTTTTATTCGGCCGTGCCGGTCAATGGAGAGAAGGTCATTATGGGCTTTCATGGCGAGGGGATAATATGCTAATACGGTCGGGGAAAGGAGGAGATAATTGAATCAGGGAAAGGGGGATATCTTGGTCTCCGTCATTCATTCGATCCGTGGAGACCCCGTCCGTGTGTCACTCGTCCTGACTGGCGGGATTTCTTTCATCACTGTCGTTCTTGGGTGATGTCGACACAGTCGGCGCGTCGGGGGTTTGCATCATTTTATTCAGCGAAATGTAAAATATTGACTGAGGGAGATTTGCATGGGTTGACAGCAGATGGCGTTCCTAGACGGCCGGCACTGCCGCATCGTTCGCAATGCGAAGAAAAGCCGGAATAAAGTGAGATCTTCCTGTCCTTCCTGCTCAGCCTGTCGTTTTGTATTCAGCCAGAGATGAGAGGGGACAGGGAGGCACTCGAAGAAGCAGGCGACCATCCATTCAACCGTTTCTGCCACTCGTGGCTTCTCCGTGTGCGCCAACTTTGATTTTCGCAGTTGTTGTGAATTTGTCATTGTATATAAAGTTATATCTCAAATAAATGTAACATGACTTTTATAGGCATATGTGATAAGGATAGCATTGAGAGAGACCACGGAATGTCATAGGTTCGGTGGCGTAATGGTAGCGCGCCTAACCGGCAGTCAGGAGGCGTGTTCAATTCTCGGCTGTCCCTTGGCTTTCTTTCGTCCTCTCTCGCCATCCAACCTTCCCTGCCTTCACTCTTCACGTCACACAGACATTCATCCAAAACACGTTTTTACCGTTTTGATTTGCTTTTATGGGAAAAATTCTTCTCTTGCCCGTTTGTGTCACATAAACACCTAGCAAGGGCAAGGGCTAATCGCACGACTTCATATGGATTCCAAGAATTTTTGTAGCA